AACCCAGTATATAGTGAAATCCATTCACTCCACTCCTTTTTGACTCATATCTTTAGTGCTCTTACATGGCTACCACCACTACTATAAAACTCCACTTCATTATTCTTGCGGCTATGTTTCTGTGATTTAATCTAGTGTTTAAAATGTATTCAATTCATATACGACTTTTGTAGAATTATGCATAGTCGAGTTCATGTTGGTACTATTATCATATGTCTCCTTATATAGAGTATGTGTTATATACAAGTTGTATATATTCTTATACAATTGAATTTGTGTGAATCATTTTTTGAAATTTGTTTTAGTGATTACCCAGATTATGATCTTGATCCATTAGGGTAAATTCACATCTCGATTTTGGGTCGAGTTAACATGTGGTGTTAGAATTGTCAATTCTAATTGATGCCTAAATAACTTATGTGTTGTCAATCGTCAAAAATTTTAAAATTTTTGGCACATAATAAGCTTGCGACATTTCTTTTCCTATAGTCATTATTTATCGTTTGGGCTTTGTTCGATGTCCATCTCATTGGCAAGGCTGTAAAAATGCCAAAGCATTATGATTTTTATGATGTTATACTTATTTAGGCTCTCCCTCTCCTCGACTAACTATTTGCCTTTTGGTTAATCGGGTTTGGATGCATCAAAGCTTAAGTTGTAGACTTTTCAAAATTCGATAATCACCCACCCCTCTTTAAATGAGAAGCTTCACTCTTTAGAAGAGAGTTTTATCTCAGTAGAGACATAGAAGTGAAATTTCACGCTAAAAATCTCAATTACTGATCCCAACTTGATGGTTCAGACATTTTCTCTGCTCTACTTTTGTTGCTTCAAACTCGAATATTTATATGTTCGTTAAGGGACCAAGATTTTATGGTTTACGATAAGAAACCAAATATTGTTGTCTAATTAGTCTTAGAAAACCAAAAGGAAATGCTTTTGATGTTTAGATGTTCGAATAGGAAAAGAATTTTTTTTTTTAAAAAAAAAAAGAAAGTTTATGATAATATCAAGAAAAAGAAAAAAAGATGTCTGAACTTAATTTAATAAGAAAAATAATTGCTTCATTTTTTGTGATATTATCAGAGGACTTATGTGCACAATATCTATAATACAAAAAAAAGGGGTGTATGTAACTCAATGAATTGGTTCGTATGTAGTTATTGTATGGTATATTTAGATTTATTTTAATTTTTTTTTCTCAATTTGTTTTGGTGCTAGATTATTTATTATAAATTCAAGAAAGTTATAGTTGCAAAAGAAATGATTGGTCACAAAATACTATGCAATCAATCATAAAAATTATACTTTTTAAAGGTCAAATTACATCTTTAAATGTAAAATTGATCGATCATAAATAAAGTCAATTAGTTATAATTTCAATTTTAAAATATATGACTTTATCATTAAAAAGATAAGTTTTGTTACGATATCAATTTTTTTCCGATAGTAAATCAAAAATTTTACAAATTTTTCACTATGGGCCAGCTTGTCCTCAATATTTTGATCTCCATCCATCTTAGACAACAACTATCCACTCCCCATCGCAACCAACACAATTATCTTCACCTTAATCCACACACATTGTCATCACCACTTTCGTCAACATCATTTGCTTCTATACTCTACTTTTGTCGTTGCTATCATTTCTCTACCATTGTCATCGTCGTCACCCCACCATTGCTATCGCCATTTTTGTTCAAAACATCACTATCTTGCCATCACCACTATCTCCACCTCACCATCGCTCATTACCATGACCTTAATTATTTTGTCATTGTTGTCCTCATCTCCACTTCCACGTCAACAGCAAGTTAAATACTATGAACGATCAATATTCGATAACATGGAGGTAAATACTAAAAAGTTCCAAGTTCTCATTTAAAGCATCTTATTATTGATTTATTGTGGGATGAGAGATGTATGATACTCTCTCCGTTTTTAAATATCTGTCGTTTAAGATTTTTGCACAAGAATTAAGGAAGTTATTAAATAGCTCTATTGTGAGTAAAAAATAATTAAATAAGACTAAAATACTTTTATTCAATACATATTGAGAAAAAATGGAATATGAAAGACTGGAATATGAAAGACACTTAACTTATACTTAATTTATTAAGCACTTATTGAAAAACAGATATAAGGATAAATTTAGAAGAAAAAATATTAATTAAATTTTGATTTCATAAAACGACAGATATTGTAGAACAAAAAAAATTAGATAAACCGACGTATATTTAAAAACGGAATGAGTATGCTATAAGAATCCAAATCCCCGTAAAGACCTTCAATTGTGATGTGTTGGCACACTTCTATGAAGTGATGCGAGGAGTTTGAAAGGTAACCGACACGTGGCCCTATACATATCATCTAACTCGAATAAATTTTAAAAAGACAAGTTAGTCATGTGTTACGTGGCACTTTCTCTGTGGAAGTAGAACCAGAAAATCTGCCAAATAATCCACCTGTCCACTAGACAATTTCGGGTTGGGTGTTCTCGGATCTTCTTCTATATGGAGACTCTTTTGGAGCTTTTAAGCCATTGCTACAGCACAGATTTTTTTGCTACAAAGAAAGTTTCACAATGCCACTACGTAGTTTTTTAATGGCTTATCATTGCTTGTATAGTTGCATGGAATGGAAAGTAAATTTGGGTCGAAATGGCATGAGCTTTTCCTCTCACTGTTTTTTTTTTATAATGTTCAGAATTGCTCAGACTAATTTACATACATCTTGATTAATTTTCTCTCCGATCCTATCAAAAATAAGTCATTTACGATGAGACTAGAACATTAAACTATTAATAAATGATAGATTCCTCATGAACTGATTCAAAAAATTATCAAGATTTAAATTCAACATTTCTGAATTTATAATTCATTTCTGTTATCACTTAAATTAAGCATTGAAGTTCTCTCACGACCGATGTAAAGGATGGGTGTTAAAAATCAAAAGCAGGTGAAAAGAGAATGACCATCTTTCTCACGTTTTTTTAATCATTAGGCATGTAGATAGTGCATTGGTCTCCTTATTATTCCTAGGCAGTACCATGCTTACTGTAATCCTCAATAGGGTATCTCATCTAATTGCAGAGGCTCAGCATGCATTGACAAGTTTGCAATTTGTCTTGTTATTCCACATGATTGTTTCTTGAGTTTATAGAAGCAGTTGTCTGTGAAAATAAAATAAAAATTCATAAATTGGTAGAAATTATTTAACTCACTGATACTTCATTTAAAAAAACAAAATAGGTGAGTAATTACTCGCAAATTGCAATCATCATTGAATCATAATTTCTACATATAGAAGAATTCGATTTTGGGTAACATTTGTAAACCATGTAGACAACTTCAAATTTAGCACGTCTCTCTTGGGCACAACATCTATTCATGAAATATGAACGATAAGAAGATGGGGTCCCATATCCATTGGGTCAATGTCGGCCAAACTTTGATAAAATGCTTCTAATTGTTTTTTTTTTTGGTGGGTACATTTCTAAAAATTACCCTGTTTTATTAAGGTTATAACGAATGATTGTATCAATTAATTAATTGAATTTTTAACTATGATGTAATCTTAAAAAATGATCTTTCAAACTATCATATGATAAATCATACCTAATAAAACGTTGGTTGAAATTCAAATTAATTCATTTCTACTTACAATTCCTTTTGCTAAAGTGGCTTTGATAAATAGTGCTCCCACCAAATCCAATGATCACTACCATGATTGACAACGATCATGATCACGGCTATGAGCAACAAATGATCATGGTTATATATAGCACAATAAATGGCTAACTACCTAAACATGCCATTCATTTTCAAGAATCTGAACCGGTAACCAATAAATCTAGTCAATATCGAAGGTGAAGAACTCTCATCTAATATATATTGTTAATGTTAATTATTCTAACAAGAAAAATACATCCAAAAAACATGGAAACATATAGTATAAATACATCCAAAAGATATATGCGATTGATGTTAATATAAATATACTAGTTATTGTTTGTCCATGAAGGTACAGTGTAATAAAAAATAAAAAATAATAAACATATTTATATTCATATTCAAAATCAAATCACAAACATAGAGAAGAGATAAAGGAATTTAAGCATCGATTTATAGTGGGGGTGGGAGGTGGTGGGCAACAGTGGTGGTGGTAGGAGACGATGATGATTGTGGTGGGTGGCAATGACTGTGACAGCGACGGCAGCGATGGTGATAGTGGCGGCAAAGATTGCAGTGGCAGCGACGATGGTAGCGATGACGACAACGACGACGATGGTGGTAATCGTTGCGGTGGCGGTGGCGATGACAATGGGGGTGGTGGCGGTGATGGTAGTGAAGGGACTGGCAGCGATGGTGGCGGCAGTGATGGTGGTAGTAGAGGTGAAGGTGGTAAAGATAGTAGTAGGAGTGGTTTCAAACACTATTTTTTTTAAAGTATTTATAAAAAATAATTTTTAAAAGTACTTTTAAAAAGTTACTTCAAACACACCATTAGAGACCTATTTTTTTTTATTAAATTTAGGATGTTAGTATTAATCGTTAAATTAACTTTAAAATAAAATTTAAAACGATCTCAACCGCGAATAACAAAATTCATTTTATTTATTTTTTGAAATTTGAATTGTAAACTACTTTATTATGTATATAAACATATTACCATCAATCCTAATCACCATTATCCAATCCAATTCGAGGGTCAGAAATCACATATATCTCACACAGGATACTACAAATTTGGAGGGAGATAACCTCAATTTTCAAATACATATTTTTTTAGGTCTCTTATTAATATATGATAAGTGATCCGTCAAAAAACAAAATAAAAGAGTAATATAGAATCCACACATACCAAACACACCACTCTAACTAAGATTGATAATTGAATCGAACTACTTAAGTTAGACTCGTGCTCTTAACAAGTCAAGTTTGGATAATTTTTTAAACTAAATTTAAATTTACAAAACTCAACTCGTTTATAATATATAAATTAATCGAACTAGTCAAACTTAAGTCATTTTTTAAACAAATAAATCTTAAACATTTTTTTAAACTGGTTTAAAAAACTGTGCTCCATTAACAGATTTACTCCCACCCCCGAAAAACAATCCCCACATTTTAAAGCAAAATATAAATTATATCTCAAGGCGGCTGACCCAATTCATGCTTCCAAGAATCAAAAGACAACTTGCATCTCCCAGCCAATCAGCACCCAAAACGTTTCAATCCTGATAGATCCAACATGCTAAGAAGGCATCACCATTGGGACCCATTGGCCATCCCCACTGGAAAAAAATTTGCTAAAAATAGAAACCAAACCCCCACACTGTACAAAAACCATACAACCACTTAATTTCATTGCATATATCAACACAAACCACTGCTACAAGTGAGTAGTACATTATCATTCCATCCTAACCCCATACCACAAAACTGTATTTACATCACACTAAGCAACTAGTATGGCATTTTTTTTAATCCTTTTTTTTTTTGGCAGATATATTTTTGATATTTCAAAATAATAATAAGCTTATTTTTCCTGTCCTAACCCAACCCTTCTTAGAGCTTTCACATTGTCTTATTTCTTACACCTTTACCCTTCTACTTTATCACAATCTAGTGGCTGCATCTATATATTCACAGTAAACTATTAACACTGGCCTTTTTGGTAAAAGCACTAGTGTTTAAAACATAGCTAGTAGCTAGTTATCTATAACTATAAGTGGGGTACTATGGAATTCAGGTAAAGTTTAGGGATGCTAGTATTCTATGCTTAGTCCCATTGGGGCTCTGTGGGGAATACCCTTTCTTCGCTTGGCAGTTCTGTAATTAACCGAAGTTGGGGGAGGCGTTGACGGAGTGAAGCTCTGAACTTTGTAGTCTCTGTTACTGCTGTTGGGGCTCTTGCGCCGGCCATGGCTGCCGCCGCTGCTGCTGTATGAGTCCTCGGAGTCCGATGCCACCGTCGGCGTGTGTTTCTTCCCCGGCAATGCTTTCTTCTGCTTCTGGAAATTGTTTGATGTCCCAACAATCTGTACATTAACAAGAACAAATATTAATACCCTCATTAAAGCTATCATAATATAAAGAAATATCCAATTCAAAATCCCACAATTCAATCTCAAACTCAAAACAACATTGACTACTTACTAATCAAACCATAATCAACATAAAAAACCCATTTTGCACTGAACACACTAATGAAATTGGGTATTCATTGAACTGACCCACCACCCAATCTGAATTACATTGATCAATTTGAACATACCCAATTCAATAATATTAACATATAATCGAAGTAACGTCAATAGAAAACTTGCTGGTTTATTATTGGTTTGAAGGACATTGTAGTACCTTGCAACCGAGAGAGCAGAACTGGAAGGAGTCGAGGAGGCTACGCTCACAGACATCGCAGGTATTAGTGACCCCTTTACCGGGCCTTGGCTGTGGCCTCTCATTCAAGAAGACAACCTTTGCACTGTTGATAATGTAGGTCTGGACTGAACTGATGTCCAAATACTTCTGAATCTCAGAAACCCTAATCACATCATGGTACGATGACCTCCTTATCTATCCAAAAAAAACCAACACAATCAGCAACCGATAACCCATTACACAGAAATACATAAACAAGAAAAGTGAAAAATACGGCAAACCCAATGACATTTTACAGGTCAAACAATGTAACATAGAAGAAATACATAGTAAGGTGATGAGTTTCACACCAAGATTAGAGCAACTCCGTAAAACAACAAAGATATTTTGTAAGTCAACAGTGAAAAACAGAGAGAATATCAGGAAAGCTCATTAACTTTATCAGGTTACTCCCTATGAAGAAAGACTGGGGTTTAGAGAAAATTCAATTGCTAGAAAAACGAGATACCAATGAACAAAAACAGGATTTTTTTTGAAATAAACGATAGGAAATTTAATATTTGAACTATTTTAAAGACCCATTGGCTAAAAAAAGGTTGAAGCCAGAGTATCTTTATAATTCCATTAAAGGAAACTGAGAAGAAAAGCTGCAATTTGACATAAATGGCTTAAATCAGACGCTAAAATTGGAAGAAAACAGAGGAATCAATGACTTGGGTATAGAAAAACAAACCTGAATGGCTCGGTGGTCCTTGTGGTAGGCCAAACAGAGAGAACAGAGAGCGCCGTTCGTGCAATCCAAACAGTACATATTGCATTCGCTCTTATGTGAATCGGCATGTAACTTGCATTGAACAAAGAAGTGTTCCCTCAGAAGTGGCTTCAACCATGGAGGCCACCTATTGTCCTCCCCATCTGGTAATCCAGCTCCCTACAATATCAAAACAGAGTCAAAAACAGATCAAACCAAGAAACCCAGGAGAGAAAATAACAAGAAAACGTGAGGAAGAGAGATAAAGTTGAGGAAATATTTGCTTTCTTACCATTATACGTCTGTTCTTGGTCTTGATTTCACTGACAGTGGGTTCTCGATTATCGATCGCCAGTTTTGACACTCAATGTAACAGAGTGGTATACTTTGTTTTCAGTGTGTGTGTGTGTGTGAGAGAGAGAGAGAGAGAGAGTTGTAGATAGGCACTCAGAAAGTAGTAGAAAAGGAAGGGGGGTTTAGATGTAGAGGCGGTGAGGTAGAGAAAGCGGTACTTTGTAGGGGTGGAGGCTGAGTTTGAGAGAGAGAGAGATTGACGAGTGGGTCGTTCTTATCCGCTCAAATCAAAGTCATTGAGAAATCCGAACCTAGCTCCGCAGCAAAGCTAAGAGATACGTTTGGTGCAAGGAACCGACCTCCTTCTTTCCTTTTTTTTTTTTTTTAATTTCCTGTCGTTTTCATCAATGTTTCTTATTCTTATCATTATTTTTTAACTTTCAATAAAATGGAATAATATTTATATTGTTGATTCCTTTATTGTTTTATTCAATAATGGTAACTACCTTTTCAATTCTATAGAAGAATAAGAAGTGAGTTGCCATTTCATTCCTTGGCATATTTACCATCTCTCTTTACTATTTGCTTGGAGTTTGTGGGGTTTTTTTTTTTTTTTTGGTTCCTATAAGTTATTTTTATGAGAATTATATTTAAGATTTATTAGGGTGTTTGGTTGATAAGATTGTGTATATTTTATTCTCAAATCTTGTAATGTTGGAATCTTCATATACTAAGTTGCACTTTTTTTGTTTTAATAAGATTGATAAATATTAGATCGATATTGTAACATGGAGTGTATTCAGTTTTATAGGGAAAAATAGATAAATAAATTTAGAGATAAAGTGATTCGCCCAATTGAAAAATTGGGTTAATTCAGTGTACAAAATTTCTTACTCATTTGCATATATATTACTTAAAGGATTAGAAGAGTATAATTATTTTATTGGGCAGCATGTGTGCTCGTGATGTCTTATTGTCTAGGGTAGAATTAACCGATGAAAACTTGTTTTCTTACCCCTTTTAGTAAATTTCGAACTGTCGATCATCCTCGAGGTAGTCATAGTTGACCTGCATTCTAGGTCAACTCAGCATACATTGACCTATCTTATTTTCTGTGTTTTTATATAAATCATAACTTCTATCATCACTTGATATAAATTATGATCTGATTGGTATTAATTAATATATAAATGATGAGATTTTTCTGAAATGCTCCATGATGAAGACACGTGTCTTCGGTATTTACCAAAACACTGTTGCTATGATCAAGCACCATCGGCGCATAAAGGTCCTCGCTCCCGAGGTACCTCATATAGGATCATGCATTCAGTATGTTTTACAACCGACACATGGCCTCGGTCTGATATGGTACTTCGGTCGACATACCTCCCTCAGTTCCGAGATGAGCCTTTCCTCGGTGCCGAGATGTACCCTGTCCTGGACGTCTCCTCTACTCCAGGATAAGCTATTGAGTACAGGTCATTAGCCTAGGCTATTCATCATGACCTCATCTTACACAATTAGTGTCAGAACGTACAGGAATGCAGAGGTCACAGCCAATAAGAGATGGACGCGTGGCATATGATATCACATCGAAAACAGAGAAACCGCATGCCGTTTCTGACACGCGACTTGGGAAAGCAAACTATTAATTACACCCTTCCTTTGATGAGACCGCATTCAATGCGATAAGGCTCGGAAATGAAGGCAATAAATGCTCCTAATACAGAGCATTTATTGCATCCTCCCCGAGATGAGTACATTGTACCGTCGGCGTCCCGATAGCACAGCATTGATTGCTCGGGACCCCGAGCAGTTAAGAAGAGAAGACATTCCTCATCAGAATCAGTGCACACACTCCCTGTACCTAATGATCATCTACTGACCACACTGACAGCAATCATGAGCTTTTGAGGTATAAATATTCCTTGCAAAAGGCAAGACGGATATGCAACAACAAACTCTTTACTACAATACATTCTCAGTGTTTTCTCCTTCCTCTCTCTTTTTCAAAGACTGACTAGATCGTCGAAGGGGATACGCCGGAAAACACTCCGGCGCCCTTCTAACTTGTTCTTCTTTGTTCCAGGAACCTCTTTCAGCCTTACTGGATCGTTCTTCCGTTCCCAGGATCTCTCATTGCCGTTCCAGGTTACCACCGTACCTTGTAGGCTGTTCCAAGCAGCGTGTTTGGTCACTCAACCGGCTCACTCGAGTTCACCCAAGGGAGAGATCTGTTCTCGTTTTTTATATTGTGCAAGATCTTGCACGCACAATCTGGCCTAGTGGGTACCTCCTCCATAGAAAGTGTTCACTTATATGGCAGGGGGGAAGACGACTCTCTTCCGATGTGGGATTGTCTTAGGAAAGGGTCCTATTGGCGAAGAGAAGTAAAGGCTACTGGGGCTCGGTGTCGTCAGATCAGTCAGAATCTTTCAAGTGGAGGGATGAGATCCGTAGCGATTTCTATCCCTTGCAACAAAATAAGGAGAGAACTTGTGATTGGTAGGTTAAAGAGTCATGCATTGATACAATGTATTTTCATCTTTTTATAATTTAAACTTACACATATTTAAATCCCAATCTAAACATAATATAAGTATAATAAAATAAAATGATGATAAATCAATTATTTTTAGCAATGTGGATTGGATTAGATTGCTTACAATGTATTTACTTGAACCAAGCGCACCTTTACTCTTTGTAATATTCTAACGATTTTGCCTAAATCAAAAATTGTAAATGTCATTTTTTTTCTTTCAGTTTGCTCAATATTATCAAATTATTTTGTATTTCTATATATGATATATTCTTTTAATAAAAAAGTAAGTGTATCATCAAATTGTGTAATTAATGTATACACCAAAGATACTGAGTCATGGAAGATATAGATATTAGGGAAAATTACTAATAATACTTTTTCTCCTTAAACATCCATTAAGTCTTATTATTTTTATTTTATATCATTGAAGTCCTACTCTTGGTAATTTATTTGGATGAAGTCCTAAATTCCATAAATATTATATTTTGTTCTAATTTTATCATTCTCTTGACAAATATTGGGGATATAACATTGGCTTTTTCTTTTCGTATATATTCCGACTTCTTGTGTTTTAATTTATGTAATTGTCAATTTGCTAGTTTTATGTAAAAAAAATTAATTATTAATAATTTTTAGAATTATCATTATGAGATGCAACAGATAACTTTGAACCTTATGCGTTCTCGATGGAGAAAAGTTTCACAACAAGAACTCGAGTGCTTTGTAATTTTAGAATCACCATTGAAGTGAATATTATTACCTAAACAAAAATTAGGCATCCATGTGTCTTTAATAATAACTTTAATAAAAATTAAACATTATTTCTTAAAAGAATTAAGTAAATTAACTCATTAGAAGGGGATGACAATTGATCCAATATAAAAAAATATATAAAATTGAGTAAAATAATAGTTGATATATAACAATGATCTATTTCTTAACTCTAACAATTTTACAATAACCAAAAGGCGAGAATACAAGGGCAAAAAAGATTTCAATTTATGATCTCCACAAAAAAATACATTATCGTTATTGAGTAAGAGAACAAATAGTAATTGAAAAGTCTCACTGATAGTATGCCACTAGAATTGTGACATACCAGAAAAAATAAAAGGGTTTTGGTAATTAAAAGTTATCCTTAGAACATAAAAGCTTTAGGACTTAATTGAAATAAAACATTAAAAATAAGACTCCATTGATATAAAACAAAAATGATAAGATTTAATGGATATTTGTAGAAAAAAAAATACTTATTGACAATTTTTCCTGGACATTGTCTGTTAACATTTTCCAAAATACTATTCTAGTTTTTAAGTATTTTTTAAATAAGTATTTCTTTTATATTTTATATTTTTCCTTATTACATTGTTGTAATTTGACCCAAAACTACTTTTACCTAGTAATTTTATGACCAAATTTTTCTGTGTAAAGTCAGGGGCATAGGTCAATTTACGTTCACTTTGACTCATTTTTTCTCTGATTTGATCAAAGACATGTTATTCATTTCATGACTAAAAAATTAATGGCCCAACCTCAAGAAAATTATTAAATATCAAATGCAAAATGTCTAAGTTTACAATTCATCCATGTCTCCGCTTAGCTATCCAGGAGCTTAGCTATTTTTTATTTTTGTAGAACTGCATACACCAACAACATTATCTTTTTAGTCCATGCTGATCGACAGGCAATTAATTGTTAATCAAACATGTTTTCAGTTATAAACGTTGAAGTCAGGAATGCCCAAAAGGTATGAAGTCTGAACTTCAAGAACTTGATGGTTGTGGTGGTTGGGTGGGTAGCTGCTGTAGGGAATGGGTGGTGCGGGCGGTGGTGGTATTTGTGAGTTTGTGCATTGTGAACTGTTCATTGGGTGGTTGGAAGTTAGACCGACAGTGGTTCCATTAAATTGTCTAATTACATACCAGGATTGCCATGAAATTATTATTATTTTTTTTTTTGAACAAACAAAATTTAATTATTCAACGTATCTTTTTTCATTGTAAACTAAAAAACAACACACACAAATGTAAAATGATAATTTTTTTTTTTAACAGTCAAGAGTATTCATATTAGATTACATGCACCTCGGTTAATTTCTTTCACGATTCAATCAAAAATAAGTTATCTACGACGAGCCTAACATATTCATAACCTCACTAAAAAAAATTATTAAAATTTAAATTTAGTATTATGGATTAAAGAATATTGAGATGGTAAAATGATAAAGTTTCCATTTATGATTATAATTGACAAGAAAATCCAATCAAATCATAACCGCCAGAAGTACGAAATTTTGTCGAGTTGATGAATGGCCTGATGACAGGGCAATACACCACAGCCACTCTTTGAATAGATTGTTAACAGAAAAACCAACCAATTTGTTCCTAGTGCCCACCACATATTCTTAATCAATCATTCGGATAGGGGCTGCCCATAGTTTTTGTCAGGTTTATACAAGGTATTTAGGTTAGATTATTATAAAATTTATTTAATTTATACATAATTTTATAATGACATATTATTGTGTATACTTTATATTGACCATACTTCGGTCATACTATGTTGAATTTGTGTCAAACTATTTATTTAATAGGATTATCAGATTTATCTATTTATCCGTTAATTACTTTACACGACAACGACGTATCAAAATATTTAAAATTTGACCCCAAAAAAAAAAAAACTCAAACTCTTTAAAAATAATCTAAAATTTACTAGTT